GCCATCACAATGCACTGTTTTAGCACACTGTTTTAGCATGGCTTAGACATACAGGGCTCCGAGTCTGCAAATATTCTGGCCTTGTGACCTACTCTGACATTTTATGGTGAAGCTATTGAAGGCATGCTTTTTTGTCGTTGTTTTATGGGACTGGGATTTGAACTCAGGGCTTTGCACTTGCAAAGCAGGCACTCTACCACTTGAGCCCCACAGTGGCCCTCCAGTACATTTTGCTCTGGTTCTTTTGGAGATGAGGTCTCAAGAACTATTTCCCTGGGCTGGCCTTGAACTACAATCCTCCCAACGTCAGCCTCCCAAGTAGCTGGGATTACAGGTGTGAGCCACAGCACCGAGCCATTTTGTCTTTTTATTATTAGTGAAACTGAACATATTTTCATGCCTGTGGTCATTTGTATTTCCTGTGTGGAATGCCTGCTCACTCATTTGCCCTACCTTTTATTCAGTTCTTCCTGTTTTTGTTTGGTTTCAGTGCTGGGAGCAAACACAGAGCCTAATGCAATGCTAGGCCAGGCTGTCTCACTGAGCTGCACCCCAAGCCCTAACTGTACACATCTGAAAGACTGCTTCCTCTGATAGTGAGCTTGATGCTGTGGCCTGGGTGTTTTTGCCCCCCACAAAAAATTCATACATTAAAACCTAATCTTCAGTGTGGCGCTATTCGGAGGTGAGGTTTTGGGAGGTGGTTATGTCACATAGGTAGTGCTGTCCAAGTGGGTTAGTGAAAGAGACCATGGAGAGGGGACTTGTCCCTTCCACCCTGTGAGGACACAGTAAGGGATGGTCCTTCTCAGGCACCAAATCTGCTGGTGCCTTGATTTTGGTCTTCCAAGGCTGCAAAAAAAAAAGTATGTCTGTTGTTTATAAGTTACTGTTTATGGTGCTTTGTCATGGCAAGCCTGAACCAACTAAGAGAGCTGGTATTTTGCTGTACCTGTTGGATATTTTCTTCCACTTGAAAAATGGTTTTAAGCCAGGTATGGTGGTGCAGGTTTGTAATCCCAGTAGTGGGGAGGCTGAGGCTGAGGCTGAGGCATGAAACCGTTTCAAGCGTGCACACACACAAGGGGTTTTTTTTTCTTATTTTTAAAAGTACTGGGGCTGAACTCAGGGTCTACACCTTGAGCCACTCCACCAGCCCTTTTTTGTGATGGGTTTTTTCAAGATAGGGTCTCATGAACAATTTGCCTGGGCTGGCTTAGAACCGTGATCCTCCTGATCTCTGCCTTGTGAGTAGCTGGGATTGCAGGCGTGAGCCACCGATCGGCTCACGAAGGTTTTTAATGTCAACACTGTGGTTAAGTACGTCTTGTGGACATGCGGTTTTTTGTGGCAGGGATTTGCTAGAAGTGGAATTTGGGGGTTAAAGGAACACACACCGAGGTGCTTTGTGTTTTGCTTTTGCAGTGCTGGGGGTAGAACCGTGGGCCTCAGGCAAGCCCTCTATCAGTGCGTAAGATGCCCTTCAGGAAGATGGTACCACCCAGCCCGCTCCTGCCAGCAGCACGGATGTGCCATTCACCCATGCTCTCCACGAGGTTGGCCGATTTGATGTGTGAGCTACCTAGGGTTACCACGATGGAGTGTCACACACCACACTGGGTGACTGACAGCAACAGAAACGTGTTCTCTCACAGTTCTGGGATGGAGAAGGCCAAAATCACTGTGCCCATCCTCTCTCTGAAGTCATAGGGGAAGAACCCTTCCTTGCTTCTGGCAAGTGCTGGCCCATGGTGACCATGACAGCATAACTCCATGCGCCGTCTTCATCTTCACAGTGGCCTTCGTGGTTGTGTCTTTACGAGGTTTTCTTAAAGGTCACAAGTCGTTGGATATAGGGTCTTCCTTGATAGTATTCTCAGCTCAACTACTTTTATCTACAACGACCCTATTTCAGAAAGGTGGCATTCTGAGCTTCTAGAGACGGGATCGTACTCAAGGGTTTACGATTACTTTCGAGTTCAGCTTTACGGAAAGGAAAGGCACACACGTAATTAGGGCGACCCAGAAACGGTAGTGACAAATACCAGTGCATCCTAACTGCAGGCTGGTAATGACAATCCTTGATCCTTGGCTGTCGAGTCTGGAAATGTGCCCCGCACAAAGCTCGTCATCCCGTACTGTAGAATGACACAGTCACTCCAGAACGTCCCTGTAGAGTGACAGAGCTACTCCAGAATAGCCCTGTAGAATGACCCAGAATGACTCCAGAAGGCTCCTGTAAAATGAGACAGAGCCACTTCAGATTGTCACAGTAGATGACGCAAGCCATTCCAGAATGTCCCTGTGTGGCGCAAGCCATTCCAGAATGTGCCACAGATTGATGCAGAATCACACAGAATTTCCCTGTAGAATGACGCAGAGCCGCTAAGGAAAGTCCCTGCAGAATGAATCAGCACCACTCCACAACGTCCCCTGCACAGTGACCCAGAGCCACTCCAGAATGCCTCTGTAGAATGACAAAAAGCCACTCAGATCCATGTAGAATGACAGAGCCACTTCAGAATGTCTGAGTGACGCACAGCCACACAGAATTTCCCTGTAGAATGACGCAGAATCACTCGAGACTCCAGAATGTCACTGTAGAATGACACAGAGCCACTCCAGAACGCCCCTTGTTCTACTGCTTGTTCCCATTGCCTCACGAGGGAGAAATCTAAGTGCAGTCCTCACCTCCAGAATCGTCTACACGATGCTTAAATCGCTGTTTTGTTTGCTTCTTTGAGACAAGGTCTCACTATGGGGCCAAGCTGGCCTTGAACTGTCGATCCTACTGTGCACAGCCCGAGTGCTGGGGTTACAGGTAAGCATTGCCACACCTGGCTGAAATTAGTCTCAGTCTTAGGGAGGGAGGAAGGGGGAGGGGAAGGAGGAGGGGAAGAGGGAGGAAGGGAAGGGGGAGGGAGGGAGAAAAGGGAGGAGTGTCTTATACTAGACTCTCATTGACTGCAGACCTGACTTGACCCCCACAGCAGTTCCTTTAGCAGGACCTAATTTCTCAGGTGTCAACTTCAGGAAGCTACACTTCCGGAAGAGAAACCGGGTGACGTCTAGGGTCTCTCCTACTTCTGCAGGACCTGAGCCCCCCGCCACCAGAGAACGCTGGATGATTTGCTCTCTAGCTAAATCGCATTGGGTTTTAGGGCAGAGACAGCAGGCAGGTGAGTCACTTACCTTCCCAGCTATGAAACGGGGTTGCCCTACATCTGCTCAGTGGACAGCCTGTCCACTGTAGCCCAGGCAGGTTGCCAGGTTCCCAAGGTCATTTGTTCAAGGGCTCGGCCCATAGCATCAGTTTCTGTCTCACTCACCAGCTTCCAATCGAATGGCCCACTGCTACCATGTTTTTTGTTTTCGTTTTCCCACGGTACTGGGACTTGAACTCGGGGCCTCACACACGCTAGGCAGGCACTGTACCAGTTGAGCCACGCCCCCAGCTCCACAGTGAGGTTTTTATGAGACAGAGCTGTGGCTCCTTTGCTCGACGGTTTTAGCACCTATTCGCTTCAATTTTGGCAAAATCTAGGTTATATCGCCAGGTCCTGAGTGATCTTGTCCCGTGTCATTCCCACCTTCGATCCCCTTCAGCCATTCCTCAAACACAGCAACTGTTCTCCCCATGGAGGGGCCTTCAGACCTGGGACCCCCTGTGCTCTACCTCAGTGCTGGGTGTTAAGTGGCTGAGCTTTCAGCAGCTTCAGATCCCCGCTCTCCCCAGGCTTCCCTCATCCACCCCGGCACTAGTCTGGTCCCCAGTAAGAATATCTCCTGGGACTGGTAGAGTGGCTCGAGCATTAAGAGCCTGCCTAGCAAATGTAAGGCCCTGAGTTCAAATTCCAGTGCTGCCCAAAAAAAAGGTCTCCTGTAGGAGTTCAAACCCCACAAACTATTTTCCACCAATTGCTCTACTAGCAATGGCTTCACAAGCATTTGTTAAACGAGCAGACTACGTTCCTTGAATTCCTCTTCTTTACTTCCCTTCTGTTCCAGCCTTCCAGCAGAATGCTTGGGTTTTCTGGGTCCTCGGAACATGTCTCTCTACCAGCAGTTTCTTCCACATGCCAGGATCTGGTGGTGCGAACTGCATTAGAACGCCTTTAAAACTCACAAAAAACACCGATGAAATAGGTACTTCTATCACCCCATTTACGGATGAGTAAACTGAGGTGCAGCAAGGTCCAGTGCTTGCCCCTGGTCTACCCAGCTAGAACTGCTGGACTGAGGATTCAAATACACCAAAAAAAGCATCCTAACAAAATGAGCTCATCCGAATGGAACCCTGGCAGGAGGCTGTGGCCCAGAGAGGTACAGCAGCTTACCAAGTCACCTCAGTAAGTTCAAAGGCAGGAAGAGACCAGAGCCTGAGGGAGGGATTAGCAAGACTCCCAGGCCAGTGTTTCCCCCCCGAGCTGAGGCTACAGTACTTCCCCAGGGCCTAAGAGGATAAACCTGTCTCTGTGTGATTTAAGAATGGAAGCCAGACACAATGGCTCAACCCTGTAATTCTAGCTACTTGGGAGGCAGAGATCAGAGAATCGAGATTTGACACCAGCGAGGGCAAAAAAATTAGTAAGACCCCATCTCAACCAATAAGAGCTGAGTACAGTGGCACATGCCTGACTTCCTAGCTATGGGGGAAGCATAAACAGGATGCTCTAGGCAGGCCCGGGCATCAACATGAGACCCTAGTAGAAAAATACCTAAAGCAAAATGGGCTGGGGGCGTGGTTCAAGCGGTAGAGCCCCTGCCAAGCGAGTGCGAGGCCCTGAGTTCAAACCCCAGTGCCGTCACAAAAATAAATAAATAAATATGAATTACTGGCTTCAAGGCCAAAGTTGAAGGTGACATCGCCAACTCAGGCTCCTGTGTGGAAAAGCAGAATTCTTTGGACGTTAATAGAAACTTCCAAATGGGGGAGCCCGCCTGCCTGCAGTGTTTCCAGAGGGCTTTGACACAGGAGGAGCAGGCAGTGTTAACAGAGCACCCAGCACAAAGCAGGGCTCAAGAACAGTGTACATTTATTTGCTGATGACCCTCACTAAGCACACTTCAAACACAAGGTAAAGAAGGTAAAGAGTCTGTTTGTCACATGGAGCCATATTTTTGCCAACGGCTACAGGCGGTCCGTGCAGGGTGACTTGAAATCACCTCCAGCGGAGGCACCAGCTCTGGGTCCTTCTGGCTCCTCTGGGGCGGAGGCGAGGGGCTACTCCTTGTTCTCATACTTGTGTTTGATGTGCTTCCACAGCTTCTGCATTTAAAAGAAGGAACCACAACCTGTAACCCTGGCTGTCACATTTTACAGTCACTCCCACTGCCCAACTGAAACTCCCACTGAGAACAAGCCTGAGAAAAACCAGTGCTGCGCTCTCATTAAACACAGTTAGGGTTGGCAGTGGCTCAGGCAGTAGAGTGAATACCCATGCCCAAGAGCCCAACATGGTAGCAGAAACCTGTAATCTCAGCACTTAGAACATTTCAGGTCAGCCCGTCTCAACAACTCAGCCTAAGTTTCTCTCTAACCTCAGTCAACATGCTACCATTGCCCCGATGCTGGTGTCACTCTCTGCTGTATGTGGCAGTGACCACCCAGGCCAGCCCCCCCAACCAGGCCTCCAGACCCCCAACCGCTATCCAGTCAGCTTGCTGCTATTCCCGTGGGTCACATGTGACAGATGGGGAGTTGGATGTTTACTGGGTGACATACTTCAACAAGCCAGACAGAGATGCCTAGAAATTGTGTAAAGGGAAGAACATTCTTGGTTTTTGTTTTTTACAGTACTGGGGTTTGAACTCTGAGCCTACACCTTGGGCTACTCCACTAGTCCTTTTTTGTGAAGGGTTTTTTCAAGATGGGGTCTCTCGAACTATTTGCCCAGGATGGCTTTGAACCTCGATCCTCCTGAGAAGCTGAGATTACAGGCATGAGCCACCGGTCCCTGGCTGAACACTCTTGTTGGCTGTGATCTGGTTCTAGAACGCAAAATCACTGATGCTGCTTTGCAGGAACGCAGACAGTTAAATGATTTTGCTAGTGCTGTTTGCATCTGAGAGGTCCTTAAGGACAAAACGGGACCTCATAAGGAACTCTACCCTATGTCATCCGGAAACAAAGACCAACTTTAAATGAACTGGAAATCCCCACTCCAAAGGAAAATGACCTTGACAAAGTGTGAACTCTGTGGATGGACTGCCCACAGATTTAGTGGTATTGCTACTTGACTGCAGTCACCTGGAAATGTTGGTGACATATCACCTTATTTGAACAAATTTTTCTTTATTGAGGTCAACCATGTAATGGTAACTTGGGCTTTAATAAAAGGGAAATGAGTTTGAACAGAAAAAAAACCCAAAAAACCCAAAAGTCGTAAGTGGGAAGACACGGTCCTACTTTTATAGGAAATTCAGGTGGTTAAGGGATGGCTCCAAAGCATGCAATTATTAAGAAATACTGGAGACTCAAATGGTAGCAGGCCTGCCAAGCAAGCATAAGGCCCTGAGTTCAAACCCCAGTGCCACCATAGTAAATTAAACCACCTAGGGACTGGAGGTGTGGTTCAACTGGTAGATGCCTGACTAGCAAGCATGAGGCTCTGAGTTCAAATCCAAATGCTGTCAAACAAAAACCAAACAACCTTTACCACACAGGTATTACTTCAGAGGTCCTAAGGGCACTGTCTCCAAAACACAAGCAAGCCGGACACCGGTGGTGCACACCTATAATCCTAGCCACTTGGGAGGCTGAGATCTGGAGAACTGTGGTTTGGTCAGCCCAGGCAAATAGTTCATGAGACCCCCCCCCACCTCCAAAATGGACTAAAGTGTGGCACAGACGGTAGAGCGCCTGCTTTGTGAATGCAAAGCCCTGAGTTCAAACCCCAGTCCCACCAAAAAAAAAAAAAAAATTCAAACCACAAGCGAATGGTGGAACAAGGCTATCTGTATCAGGCCTTTCCCAGTACGGCCATAATATAATGATACGAACATACACAGGAAATTAAAAAATTACTAAATACACAGAAGCAGGGCATGGTGGCACACACATGTAATCCCAGCTACGAAGGAGGCAGAGGCAGGAGGATCTCAGGTTCAAGGCCAGCCTGGGCAAAGCTGACAACACTCTGCCTCACAAAACAAACAAATAAAAAAGATGGGGACACGGCTCAATGACAGACAGCTTGCTTAGCATGTACAGACCCTGGGTTCAATACCTAGGATGGCCAAAAGAAAAAAACCAAAACCAAACACAAGCAACTAACAACGCAACTAACAGCACAGTGCCTGGGACAGGTGGAGCCTAAAAGGTGTCGCTAGAGGAAATTAAGACAAACAAAAGAAATAAAAGGCTTGCTCTCCCCTTCTTTATGCTTCTACTTCCTTCTGAGCAGCGCAGCCAGTGCTCTTTTTGGGGGTGCCATACCCAGCATGGAGGCGCCTTATCTGCATCCCCTGAAGTAGTTACTATGATCTCAATTTCACACATATAACTGACGCTCAGGGAGGTGAGGAAATGTGTTATTAAGTAGCAAATCCCAGTATTCCTAGCCAGGGCTCTTTGAGTTCACAGCCTCCTTAGTTATAAGGTCAGCCACAGGGTCGAAGATGTCCTTTCACGACTGGGGCCTGCTCAAGCATCGAAGTGGGATCTGTTGACCTCATTTAACCTTTTAGGATTCACACCAGGCCAAGCGGACTGCTGGCGATCTCAAGAAAGAAGAGGCCCACGATTTACCCCGTTCCTCGGAAAGGCAGACTGAGTCCCGTCCCGCCTCCACTCCCACAGTCACCCCTCCCGTGGGCTCAAGGTCAGGATGGCCCAGGCCCTCACCCCCTCGTTGATGTGGTCGTAGATCGCATCCGCGCCTTGATCAAAAGCACGCTCGAAGAACAGAGCGCCCACAGCGATGGTGAGGGCGAAGGTGGAAGTCCTGCGGAACAGCAGGGAATACAATCTTGCAGTAAGTGTAGGGGCCGCCATGTTTCCTCGCTGCCGGACTCGCGCCACCGCGCATGCGCCGAGGCCGACGTCGTTCCCATAAGGCCTCGTCGTGCAATGCTTGATGGGATTTGTAGTTCTTCAGCTCTCTGGGCTTGTTTTGAACCACAGAGGTAACCACTAACCTGCATAGAAGAAAAAAACCTATCATAAGATTCCTAGCTTCACATCGCAAATTTGATAAGATTTATTATCCAGTTTTTCTTTCCAATGATCGCCTGCTGTTTGAATATTTAAAACTACAACTCCCAGAAGCCCACGCACTTCCCACTCTCCCCCTGAGCTCTCTCGATTTAGCTTCCTGAAGCTCTTTGAAGAGCAAGCTGACACGCGAGGAAGGACTACGAATCCCAGCAGGCAGTGCGCGGAGCGAGGGCGCAAGAGGAGGAGCCGGGAGCCGTCGGGCCCCGCCGAGCCAGGTATGTTCTTTGGCGGGACGTGGAGGGGCGAGCTCTGGTCTCTGTCCCTATACAGGAAGACGTGGGCTCTTCGCTCTAAATCCGCGCGACCTGCCACTTTCTGAGTTGGGGAGTGGGTATAAGACCGAGGGAATTTGGGCTTTCGGGACTCCGGCTCGACTCTCCGCCTACTTTTTTCAGCCTACCATAGGACACGTCTAGAAATGGCTGAACTTGAGTCCCAGGCCTGACGCTTCAAAACCGCCTGGGGGGGGAAGGGACGGTTCTGCACGTGCTTCCCGTCCCGGGCCCCCCCAGGCTTCGAAGCCAAGAACCTGAGCCTGGAGGCGGGCGACCTGGCGTGACTTCTTCCCTTGCTTTGGAATAGATGGAACTTTGGGCTTTGGAGTCGGGGCCGTTCTACAGATGTTTTCTGGGTCCCAGCAGCTGCGAAGTCCCTGCTGTCCTGGAGCCCCGAGTCTACTGGGAATGGGCGGAGGGGGAGGTCCTGATGCTTCTACAAACAAATGAGTAGTGCTTTGTAGAACCGAAGACCGGATGCTTGGGGAGGCCGTGATGGTGCCGAGTTAGCCTGGGTGACACTCACTGGAGATCTGGATGATTATTACAGTCGCGGGTCACACAGGAAACGTTGGTGACAAAGGCTCTGTGAGGCCACTGCAGTCCTGGGATGGTTGAAGGAGAGTAGAGTGGACAGGGGAGGAGGAAGAGGTGAGCCAGGGTCAGCTCAAAGCTTGGCCTTGTAAGCCACGGTAAAGAGTCTTATTTAAGTGCACTAGGAAGCCGCTGAAGGGTTTTAAGCAGGGATGTGACAAGATCTAATTTACATTTTAATGTCATCATTCTGGCTGTTCTCTGGAGGATGGAGTGGAGAAGAGGGGATGTATTGACATGGATCAGATGAGGGAGGTTGGAGATTTAGATTCAAGTGTGGATTAGAGTAGTGATCAGATTTAGGATGTATTTTGGGACGAAGGGCAGACAGAACAAGCTAATAAAAATGAAATAAGGGACTTAAAATCCACAGGAATAATCTGAAGTTCTGTTTTGTTTGAGCTGACCTTAGATACCTAGGGGCATCCCAGGCAAATGGGGTTATGAGAATGGAATTTAGAGAATTTGGAGATAGGGTGACATTCAAACCAAGAACTGATTTCCAGGCCTGGCTCTGCCTCTGCAGGGCCCTGATTGGATCTGACTGGGCCCTATTTTAATTCATCTGTGAAGAGTAACAATAAGGGGCCAGGTGTGGTTGTGCATACCTGTAATCCCAGCTGTGAGAGAGTCAGAGATGAGAGGATCATGGTTCAAGTCCAGCCTGGGCAAAAGTTATCAAGACCCTGTATCAAAAAAAAAAAAAAAAATGTGGGTGGTGGTGCTTGCCTTTGGTCCCAGCTACTTTCGAGGTGGAGACAAAAGAATGGTGACCTGAGACCTGCCAGGGCGAAAGCTGGAGATCCTATCTGAAAAACAAACAAAGCAAAAAGAACAGGATGTGGCTCTTGAGGCCCTGAATTCAACCCGAGCACCCAGAAGAAAAAAGAAAGAAAAAAAAAAGAAAAGTAACAACAATGCCTGGTTAGGGAACCGGAAAAGAAAGCGAGAAGTGTTCCCATTGAGGATGGTACCCTTATTATGGTCTCTTTACTGTTTGCAGAACTTTCTGGGAATTGCTTGGGGCTGGAAGTTGTGAACCTGCAGGGAAAGACTACTTAGGTTTTGCTATCAGCTGTCAAACCTTCAACAAACACACATGGCTGATGGGACGTTCAAAGGGGAGGGGATCATTTTAGGTGAGATCAGCCGGGAAGTCACAGGGAGTTAAAGGTGTGATTTATTTTGTTTGGCTTTTTAATGTATTTTTACCTTTTAAAATTCTCACTTTGTAGTAAAAAATTTTCGAAACCTGTCTTTCAGCCATCATTTTCAACTTAGTAATTGTTCTGTACATAAATCTAGGAAAGTAAGGAAAGTGACTTTGACTTTGGCTTTGATTAGTGTTTGAACTCAAGTTGAACAAACTAAACTCATCTCTATTTACATCTTAATTACATTCCCTTAGACATTTTAACTCCATTTATAAATTTAATATATTTGATTTTCTTTTTAAGCACTTAAGATGCATAACTTAACAAGCATAAGTTCCCCCAGGATACTTAGTTACCAGCAAATCTAATTCATTAAACTAATACTGAATTTCAAGTTCTTGCAAACATTTCAATACTTTTTTATAGACTTAGTCAAATTCTCTTATGTCAATCTTTGACTCTTGTCTGAAGAGCTACAAGGAAAAACTGGGTGGGGTGGGGGGACCTGGCACGTGCCTAGAAAGCTGGAGGCCCTGAGTTCAAACAAATGAAGAAATAATAAAGAAAGAAACAGTTTCTGTTTCTGACATAATATCAGAATATGGGGAGCATCCTTATGTAACACTGATAGCACCCTAGGTCATTCTAACTAGTATTTCCAATCACTGCTAACCTCTCAACCGAAAATCACAAGTCTAATATCAATTACTGCCTTGTTGCTGGGCACTGGTGGATCACGCCTGTGATCCTAACTACTTGGAAGGCTGAGATCAGGAGGATTGCAGTTGGAGGCTAGCTCGGGCAAATAGTTCGTGAGACCCCCATCTCTAAAATAACTAGAGCAAAATGGACTGGAGGTGTGGCTCAAGCACTAGAGTGTCTGCTTTGCAAGCATAAAGCCCTGAGTTCAAATCCCAGTCCCACCAAAACAAAAAATCAAGATATAGAAATGAAACTGACATATTTTATCAGTTACCTGTTTTTTAACTTTTATATTTTAAATTAGAATCATAATGCTTAACTGTCAGCTGTTCAACACATCAAATTTTTCCTGTTAAAAATACATGAAAACATCAAACTACAATGGGTTTTTGTTTGCTTGATCATTTCTTGAGACAGTGATCTTGATGTAGCTCAGTCTGGCCTTCAACTCGAGATCCTCCTGCATAGTCTCCTGAGTGCTGCTATTATAGGTGTGTACTACTGTGCTCAGCTTTATACTTACTACTAAATTTAAAAAACTATGCATGTACCTGTCTTTCCAGCTAAAGTGGGAAGCCTAAATAGGAGGGTGGTGGTCCAGGCTGGCCAAGGTATAAAAATGAGACCCTATCTTAAAAATAGCTGCAGTCAAAAAGGACTTGGGGCATGGCTCAAGTGCCTTCTTGGCAAGTGCAAGATTCTGAGTTCAAATCCCAGTACTGCCAAAAAGGGAGGAAGGGAGAAAAAATTTTATCCCCTCTGTAAATTGTGCTTTGCCTCAAGTTGGAGCTCCCCTTCCAGTCAGCAAGGGTTATTCATAATCAGTCTGATTTCTGCCTGTGACATGAATGCAGTGGCCTGTGTCTCCTCAGAACAACTGTTTCCAGCAAGGCCGCTTTGGGATTTGGGGGGAAGTTCCTTCTTCTAGGTTTTGTTTTTTAGGGGACACTGTACTCACTGGTTAAAATCCAGATTTCTGGATCTCCGTCTAGATTTGCCAAGTCAAAATATCTGGGACTTGACTCAGGAGACTTTTTCCTTTTTTTTTTTTCTTTCTTTCTTTTCTTTTTTGGTGCTGGAGATGGAACCCAGGGCCTCACACCTTCTAGGCAACAGCTCTATCACTGAACTCCACCTCCAGGAGACCTTATTTTTAATAAAGTTCCAGTTGGGAGCTGGGTGATTTTGGAGGGTTGATCTGATGTAGCCCAGGGTGGGGTCAACAGAGGAGGTTGTGTCCAGATACGAGGTGAGATCTGACTTGGGCAGCAGGGACAGTGGTGACAGAAGAGCAGATGGTATTTGGAGCCTAGTCTAGGGGCACAAGAAGGAAGCGGTTTGAAATCTGGATATTTAGTTCAGGAGCCTCCTTCAGACTATTTTTGTCTTTCCTATTTGGAAACACTGGTCTCCTGGGACGTGTAATCATCAGATGAGAAACTGGGTCCCCAGACTGCAATGCCTGGAGTCCGGAATTGGGCTCAGCCAACCTTCACTGAGCCTTGGGGCTTAGTAGGCCAGGTCTGGTTGGAATCAGGGCTCTCCCACAAACCCTCCCACCTCCCCAGAGATTCTTCAGATGGGAACTGAGAGAAACGTGTGCTCTATCCCTTTCACCCACCACCCTAGCTGAGCCATTCAGGAGGGGCAGGATTGACCCTGTCTGACAAATTGCCCACTTTTATTTTTTTTCTGTACTAGGGCTTGAACTCAGGGCCTACACCTTGAGCCACTCCACCAGCCCTTTTTTGTGAAGGGTATTTTCAAGACAGGGTTTCACGGAACTATTTGCCTGGGCACTGGCTTTGAACTGCGATCCTCCTGATGTCTGCCTCCTGAGTAGCTGGGATTATGAACCACTGGTTTTGTTTGTTTTAGACAAGATGTTGCTTTGTAGCCTCAACCTCATATTCCTCTTGCCTCTGCCTCTTAAATTCTGGGATTACAGGCATGTACCACCACACCTGGCCTGCCACCACTTTTTTGAAGGGAATTTTTTTTCAGATTTTAGAATAATCACTCAATGTAGCAACTTCTTAGAAAAATAGAAAAACACAGAACAAGAAAAAAGCCCATGTGTAATCCTATTATTTAGGCATAACCACAGTAAATATTTTGTGTCTATTCTGGTCTGTGTGTATGTGTGGGGGGGAGGATTCTCTCTCCTTAAAAAGGTTTTATATTATTGTACATACGGTTGTGGTAATGAGCTGTCTCTCTTTCAGCAATATAGAGTGAACGTTTGTTCAAGCGAGGGAATGGTTTCCTTTGACTTGAGATGAGTTCTGGTTATGTTGCTCAGGCTAGCCTTGAACTCCTGGACTCAAGTGCCTCAGCCTCTGGAGTAGCTGGGACTAGTAAGTGCCACTGTGCCCTGCTTTTAATGGCCAAGTGGTACACCATTGAACTGTGGCTCAGACCTTACTCTTGCTCCTTGCCAAGTGTGGGCTGTCTGTGACCATGTTTTTTTTGTTTTTTGGTTGGGGGGGT